TCTTATAGACGGATACCGACATTTCGGAGGAACGTGTTGTCTCCATCTTCAGGGTTGAGTCATTCGGATTTTGTAAGCAGATATAAAGTAAGGTGCTACCTCAACCCATGAGGGACGGTTCCTTCGAAATGTCACTATCCCCGTACGACATATACATATATACATAGGAATTATGTTGACTGTCACACAACAAATGCACTCGCTTTTAATATTTTACGATTATTTCTGCTACATGTTTCGGTCATACAAGACCATCATCAGGTAGTTCTTCTATTTTTGTACTCAATTATAATACTTACCAACTTGAGGCAAATTTAATATTAGTATGTAATACTACACGTCGCACTGGTATGGATCCATATCGGTAGTTTAATGACTGTACGTATCCCTATATATAACTGCCTGATGATGGTCTTATACGACCGAAAGATGTAGCAGAAATAAAAGGTCTAATCGTAAAATATTAAAAGCGAGTGCATTTGTTGTGTGACGGTTAGCATAATTCCTATATATATCTGAAACACAAGAAGATGCACCGAATGAAGATAATCCACGTACGAGACTAACCGACATGACAAACCAGATCACAATGTGAACGTTCGCTGACTCGAAACCCCGAACAGTGAAATCAGTACGAATTGTTTTGTGCCTCTTCTCCATAGCGAATACAGGTAAAGCAAAGTAAGGGGGAAGCCCGTAGCAACGGGCTACGGGCTTGACGGCCGGGGTTCCATTCCATGCAGAAGCAAAAAGTTCACTACTCCACAGCTTCCAAGCAGCTCTACATAATGGGTACCGGAGGCTCTTTCCCTAGGGGTGAAACGACCGGAGCGTGAATCTACCCATTCAGCTCTATATAGTGCCGAGATCAAGAATGGTGGAGCTATACCTCCTATCTCCGACATATTTTCATGACACGGTGCTTAATTAATTGAGCACAACGATAACTTTACTTTTAACCTTTGTATTGCAGTACTTCAGTACTATTCAGACACCTAGAGTGAGTGCTTTGACAGACTTTACGTGTCAGTTACACTTGGACACGTTGTAGTAGGGGATTAATAGGTCGACATACAGTATTCTGTATTCGGTATTAACGTGATTAAAAACACTTTTACATGCTAAACATGTTGGTAACAAACAAACAATCTCCGTGGCCTGTAGTCCGCAAGCGAACTATACCGACCGAGCCACCGCCGCTCTTCGGCGAAGTTAGTGCCAACTATAGCGGATAGAGGGTGTCGCGTGGTGAGGGCAACGAATCCCCCCCCCCCCGGCTGTTAATCTCGGGTTTCTAGACCGGAGCCGCTATTTCCTCGAAATAGCTCCTCAGTTATCCTCACGAGGCTGAGTGGACCCCGTTCCAGACCCACTGCCCAGAATCGAGCCCGAGACCTCTGGATCTGTAGGCAGGAACTTTGACCACTAGACCACAGATGCGGTCTCATGTTGGTAACACCTCTTCAATATTCGAGTAGCCTATAATAAAAGAGAAATATGGAATATTGTGCTAATGGTAGCCAAATAATCTGTTACGTCACATATTTCGTACTGTGGTGATTGGCCAAGTAGGCACACGCCGACGTCATGAGGCTTAAGTATGACACTTCGGCCCTAAAGACGAAGACAGACTGTAAAGTACGAGGGTCGTACTGAAAGTCATGAGCAACAATTTTTGTAAAGTAACATGCTTTAGTATTGACAAACCAAATACACCACCTAAATCTACAGACCTTTCTTTATTTTTCCACATAATCGCCACTTCTTTGTACACATTTCTCCCAGCGTTCTGGGAGTTTGAAAATTCCCCTTCTGTAAAATTCAGTTCCAGCCTTCCGAAGACACTGACGCACTGCTTTCTGAATTGCCTCCCTTGTCTCAAAACGTTTTCCACGCAGCTGATCCTTCACAAATCCGAAAAGATGGTAGTCGGACGGTGCCAGATCAGGGCTATAGGAGGGGTGTGGAAGAACTTCCCACCCCATCTTTGCAATTGCTTCCAATGTGAGGCGAGCGGCGTGGGGGCGAGCGTTGTCATGCGGGATGATGATGTTTCGTCCCGGACGTTTATCGCGCAATGCACGACGGAGCTTGTGCAGCGTCTGGACATAACGATTAGCATTGATGGTTTGCCCAGGTTCCAGGAATTCGGCCAGAATGAAACCCTCTGCATCCCAGAAGACTTTGCCCATCACCTTCGCAGCTGACGGCACTGTCTTTCCCTTCTTTTTTTGACGGAGAATGCAAATGGAGACATTCCATACTCTGCCGTTTCGTTTCAGGCTCGAAATGGTGAAACCAGCTTTCGTCACCTGTCACAATACAGAGTAAAAAAAATCGCCTTCGTGTCGATATCTCTGCAGCAGTTCTGAGGTGATGGCTTTTCGCTGACCTTTGTGGTCTTCGGTCAATAACCGCGGGACCCAACGAGCACAAACTTTCCTATAGCCCAAGCTTTCAATCATGTCCTGTACTGCACTGTGTCCTATTCCAAGTTGGGCTATTGTGTCCACAGTCACACGCCTGTCATCTTGAATGATCTCATCCACTCTTTCCTTGTTGCGTTCAGTTGAGGCTGTTCGAGGACGACCGCTCCGAGGCTCATCTTCAACGCCGGGGTTCCCATCTTTAAAATGTTTCACCCATCTTCGAACACTGCTCACACCCATGCACACACTTCCATAAGCACGCTGAAGTCTGGTGAATTTCAGCAGCAGGGAGTTCCTCTTTCACAAGAAATTCGATGACAGCACGCTGGCGAAACGACATATCGTTGTCCGCCATTTTGTTAGGAGTGATACTGGTCACGTGATGCAAGCTATTGACGTCACAAGACACTCAAGGTTAACGCAACAGCTGGTTCCACCTACCACCATACTCTCTTTCGTCTGCTGTTCCCAGGTTGCATGCAAAAAAAAAAGTTCCTCATGACTTTCTGTACGACCTACGTACGTAGATTAACAAATGAAAGATGTGTTAACATTGTGGGGAAGAAATATCACGTTTCATGAAATGGTAACGAGTCTTTGGATTTAAATTAAGCTCCTAGACTTAAAAGTTATGCAGAATTACCTAAGTAAAAAAGATGAAGCTATCCATGCGGTAGCATAGTTGGTTGCGGCACTATGCTACAAGACGGAAGGTCTCGGCTTCGATTCCCGATGAGGTCATTGGATTTTCCAGTTGATCTCATCCTTCCAGCCGTGCCGTGACCCTGGAATCGACTCTGTCTCTAACAGAAATGAGTTCCAGGAATCTTCCTGGGGCTTAAATTGGGCCGACGCATAAGGCTGACAACCTCACCGCCATCTGTGAGCCGATTATTTTGAAAATGTGGGAATCTCGACGTCTCACAACCCTACGGGCCTCCACTGCCTGTTACAGGGATAGCTTGACCCTTTTTAAGTATTTGTTCTGTGTAACGAATCGATCTAACTCAATACTTCGGTGGGCCTATGTTCTACACAATCGATATGAACTGTCTTCAGCCCCGTAAAGTCGTTTTTTTATCATTTTATATAAAAGGCGCCATTTTTGTGGCTCATGAATCTACGGGTTGACCAGGGCATAAGTACGGCACTAATTGTAAGTAAGTTATGATGTCCATTAAGTCAAATATTGCACTATGTAGGATTTGGGCATGGTACGAGACTGCATGGTACGAATTTTACTAAAAGGTAAACGTAAAGCTACCCTTTTAACAGGCCGTCGAGGCCCATAGGGTTGTGAGACGTCAAGGCTCCCACATTTTCTCTAGACAGTCAGCTCACAGATGGCGATGAGGTTGTCAGCCTTACGCGCCGGCCTCACCTTTACCCCCAGGAAGTTTCCTGGTACTCATTTCTGTTAGATGCTGAGTCGACCCCATGGCCATAATGCGGCTGGAAGGATTAGGTCCTTTGAAAAGTCCAATTACCTCATCGGGAATTGAACCCCCGAACTTTTGCTTATAATATTAGTGCCTCAACCAACTACGCCACCGCGTCCCTCCTTCGGACCGAGGGTATGAAACAGAAATTCTACATCCTCGACTGCGACTTCCGGTGGCAAGTTTATAAACCACACATAATGAACGTGACAGAAGCAAAGTTGTGCCTGTGCTTATTTAATCACCATGACATACATACAGAAAGGGGTGGATGTGTAACTCCACCCCTTCTTAACTTTGGCATTCGATGAAAGTGATTGGTCAGGTTTAACTCCCCCTCCCCAGTACCTATTTGATAGGAGGCTGGGTGGGCCTCATGGCCTGTCTGGACGCTGTGGAGAAGACAATATATCTTTCGTCTGCCGTAAATGGAACCCCGATTCCTGGATCGCCCAGTTCATAGCCTAGTCTCTGTACCGACTGAGAAAGCGTGAGAAGAACGGTCCAGCGAATTTGGGTTTGGGCATAGGAGGTTACATATACAGTTGAGACTAAACCGATAGTTTTAACCTTAAAGAAATAAATTTGATGTCCCCGAATAGTAACTGACGTACTGTGAGTTTTATTGCGTGAAGCTAGTAGAATTATACAGGTAATGTAAATGAAGAAAATGCTGTAGAATATACCGTCTGTTCTGTATATCGGCAGCCATGTTTACGTGAACCGATATCAATGGCTGGTAAATATCTCAAACTGCTCTAAACGAGAGATCGGCAACTAATTCTCCTCATGGATGTTATTTTGAAGCCTAAGAGAACGATTCTCAATTTAACTGTGATAAGCAATAATGATTTAAGATATAAAATAGTTCTAGGGCTAAGTAATGTCTTTATATCGCTTTTTGTGGTTACATATTATGTTGGTCCACTATACGTTATTTTCCCGTTCGTTTTTAGTAAAGACTAAGGAATAGAATTATTAAAATCTAAATAAAACATTTTTACCTCAGTGTTCAGTGTCTAGCCAAATTCTTCAGCACTTCGCAATACCCAGGCTTAACACTAGAAGTGCCAGGATTAATTCTGGGGGGTCAAGCTGCCATTTCAGATTTTTATAACTCGCGAATTATGGGTAAATGATACATAATAGAAATTCGCTGAGTTCGTAAAATAAATATAAATCTTCCTTCCTCGTATTTCTTGGCCATTTAGTTCAGATGAATTGCATATAGATGTCATATATTGTCAGGTAGTTGTAAAGGTCGAAATTTTCGACTCTCGGCACTTATAGGGTTAAAGTAGGCTTATTGCTGAAACTAATATCAGTCCGTTGACCGTGAAAGATTATACTTCCAACTCAATTAGTGCTGTAACACGCTGAGCGCAAACATTTTAATAGTGTGAGACATTAAATCGATTCAATTTGGATTTGGACCATTTTGAGCGAAACTCTTTTCAGCTGCCTTCAAGGCATGGGTAACTATGTAGGCACTATCAATCACATCCTGTCTCTGGGACACATTGGCACATCTGCATAAAGTATGTCTGCTACATGTGGATAATTGATTAGCCAGCATTTTACACTGCATAACCACCATCGGTGGTCAGAGTACATCAACGTACTTGTAGGTTTGAATTATGATCGTCAGGTTTGTATTAGTCGACTCCCTCTGTGGTACACTGTCTTCGACGACGGCTGCTGCTGACCCGTGTTGGGCATCAATTTGAACCAGTCCCGTGCTGATGACCAGACCAGACCCCTGTTCAGGATATGCAGTAACCGCTGTAAGTTCTAATGGCCTCCTCGGTGTAGCTCTTGCCTACGATGACTCCGGGCTCCGTGTGGTGCCGCGGACAGGTGTGGCCATGAGGACATTGGCACAGTGTGCTCGTGTTGACCTCGTTCAGTAGCTCCTGTCGCTTCCTGACAGTGAACAGGCGACAGGGCTCCTTCCTCTGGCATCTCAGCCTCTGTGGAAAATAACAGAACCACATATAGACATGTATACTGGAACAGCTACAACAAACACGCCCGAGGGCTCTTTCCTTCAGGCGTAAAGTGGCCGGGATATGCAGCTGACCACTCATCTCCAACCAGTGTCGAGGTCAAGAAAACGTGGATCTATATATCCAGTCCCCCATAATGGCGTAGTGCTTAATTAGTTAAGCACAGGAACAACCTTACTTTTTTATTTACTACGGCAAAGCGGTTGCGTCATCATCAGTTAGTGACGTAGACTGTTACATCATCATTAGAAAGTTACTAGATTTTATTTTCAACTTACTTCCGGTACCGGTATAATTAGTCTTCAAGGAATGCATCCTGTAATGTATTTATCACTGTATATACTTTTTTGGGGGTTGTTAACTGTTATTAAACTCTAAATATCAGAAACATAATTATAAATCTGTGCATATGAGAACATTACGGAATGTTTTCCTTTTATATTAATTTATTACTCATTTACTTACTTTTACTCACCTCTAACTAGCTCCGAGGTCAAGAAAATGTGGATCTATACATCCACTCCCCCATACGCCTTCATGGCGAAGTGCTTACTTAGTTAAGCACAGGGCAACTTTACCTTTACCTTTTACTGGATACTTGTTATATATGGATCCATATAAGAATCCCAGTTCAGCAATTTAAGGTTTTTAGATTGTATCACCTGATGAAGGCTCCATGAGAGCCGAAACACTTTGTGACGCTATACTGTAATCCCATAAAATTCAGTTGACACGATAGCGTGAAAGCGAGTTATTTTTATTCTTTGTTGTTTTGACAGGTAACCCAAAAAACATGAACGATATTCTTGGAATATTCTTGGGGCTAAAGGGCGGCCAGCGCGTAGGGCTGACAACCTTGCCGACATCTATGAGCCGATTGTCTAGAAAATGTGGTAACCTCAACATCTTACAACCCTATGGGCCTCCATGGCGTGTTACAGGGATACCTTTACTTACTTTTACATTTTACAGTGATATAATTAGAATTGTCAAGTCTAGAATGATATTAGGATGGATTCTACATAAATGCTTCGTAATCGGGCAGTCCCATATGCCGGGTGTCCTCTTAGGATTTGTAGTCTACTTTGCACGTTTAAAAGAAAATAAATGTAAGCTTTTGAGATGACCTTGCTCTGTGTGTGTGTCTGTATATCCCCACCTCTATCGTTGCTAGGCAACGGCTAGGTAAACACGTTCATGTGGCACCGAATACACAAGCAGCAACAGAAAAATTGGTGGATGCATCGTTTTTTATACGGTCCGTGTCGTATCAGAGGAAGAGAGGCGATTAGTTCTTCCCAGAACTTGTAATTTCCATCCCCCCAGGAGAATGCCGGGATATAGGGATATGTACATTTGTATTAGCGACGGGATACGGACCGGACGGCAAGGGCTCGATTGCTGGAAGGAGCAAGAAAGTCTTCCTCTTCTCCACGTTGTCCAGGCCGGCTCTGGGGTAGCCTCTTGTCCAATGGGTAATGGGGCCTCTCTGACCGCTGATATTGCAGGCGGGGCTTGAAGCTTACCACTGACCTCCAAATAATGCGGAGGTCAAGAAAAATAGAGCTATGCCTCTATTCCCCCTTGCATCTTCATGGCACGATGCTTATAAGCACAGGAACAACTTTACCTTCTGACTTTGACTTGGTTTATCCTGGTCCGTCACACTAGCAATATTATAAACGATCAACAACGGCTCCAGTGTAGTTGATATTTTTTTTATTTCTTTAATAATTCGTCCTTTACAAGTTTCGATCTGAGCTACCATCTTCAGAAGGACATATCAGTACGTGCGGAAACCATTATTACAATATCACTGGTAACTACCAATACACACGGACACCACCATTACTCGTACAATGTAATGAATATAAAATATTATCCTTTAACAATTACAGCGATGTTCTTGGATTTATTAAAACATTTATAAATAATTAAAATTGGTCTATTTACAAGTGTGGTTTTAAAACTTTGTTAAAATCTCTTCTTTTAAAGAGAGGCAGTATAAAGGACACGAACCAAATTGGTTCTAAATTTTAACAGAGTTAGAAAACCATACTTGTAATGATTTATAAATGTTTTAATAAATTTAAGCACATCACTGTAACTCTTAGAGGCTAATATTTTATTTTCATGACATTGTAATGGTGGTGTCTGTATACAACGGTAGTGATCAGTGACGTTCAGTATTCAGTATTGAGGAGGTGGGCTTCCCCATGCACTGAGACCAGTTATTGGTCCATTGTGCGTCCCCCTTTTAATTTCTACTGTCTCCATACCCTACCGGTACTGGTGCTTACTATCAGCCCCTTTCTGCCAGCGAGGTTCCAATCTTCTACTGGCAGTGGTATCTAATAGTTAGTCCTTTCTGTTAGAGAGGTCCCCCCTCCTCTGGCAGTGGTATCTAATACTTCCCCCATCTACCGGAGGCATTGGAAACTACTTTGGGCGGGAAACTTTTTGGCCAAATTTAGCTCAGAGGTCTCCTAGAGACATGAGGTTCTTTTACATGCCGTAAAGCTATGACACGGGACCCACGGCTTAAAGTCCCTCCCGGAGGACTTGTTCCCTGAATATTTCCGCCCTTAAAAAAATCCACGACCTCCGCCGGGTTTTAACCCGCGTACCTTGAGTCATGAGGTGGGAACGTTACCTCTAGACTACGGAGGCCGCTGATCAGTGACATTTGTAATAGTTGTTTCGGCATGTATTGATATGTCCTTCTGAAAATTGTCGCTCCGACCGAAACATGTCAAGGGTGAATTATTAAAGAAACAAAAAAAAATATCAACAACATTGAAGGCGTTGATCACCTTTTATATTACCTTCTGACCTTCACCTTGATTTTGCCTTATTTAACGACACTATCAGTAGTTCACTTAACACACCGTCGACTGACCGGGAGTTTGGTGAATATTGAATTAGGTATGAAGTTAAGAAGACTATCGTAGCGTGATTTAAGGTACTATCCCAACGTCCGCTGATATATCCAAAGTTTATCTCATTGAGTACTTTATTTTGTGGCCGAGAATAGAACTTCGAATAGTGCTGTATGCAGTTTTCTTCAGTCTTACACTCCTTCCAAACGTTTAGGTTCAAACTTTCTCCTCACCACACCGTCCTCCTCAGCCTCTGTTCTCTTTAATGTGACAAGTCAAGTTTCACACCCATACAAGCAAAGAATACACTGATAGTCTTCTATATTTTAATATACTCGTACACACACGCGCGCGCACACACACACACACACACACACACTTATATATAGATAGATACACTACCATGAGAGAGAGTAAGCAATTAAGTCACAAATGGTAGTGAAACAGCTGTAATGGACCTAATAGGTTTTCTATATTTATCACTAGGTAGCAGCAGAGTCCAGCTTCATGACAGTCTACATAGCAGACGCGCATGCGCATGTTCAGATGCTGGATTCAGTAGTTAAAATGGTGACCAAAGAGCAGCATTATGTTGTGTGGTTTTTTTGGGGGGGGTAGAATAACTGTTTACTTTAGGAAGTGTTTGTCGCGAAAGTGGTTCGCAACTGAAACGAGAAACTTGGGAAACGTATCGCTGATGACGAGGTTGAAACAGAGGTGCGGAAGTGGCTGAGACAACAGTCAAAACACTTTTAACATATATTTAACACATATTTTAGTTATTTTAATGTGTGAACATGGCATGCAATGAACTGGTTTGACGTGGATAAGTAAGCACCTGAAGATGGCATTATTATGCCGAAACATGTAGTGCGAGGGAGAGAAGGAGAAAAATGAGTGTATGCACTGCAAGACGGATTAAATAAATCATGGACTTAAATCAGTGCAACAGGACGCTAAAATATAACACTTTTATTCTTCGGGTTTCAACGCACTGATAAAGCGATGGGACAAGTGCGTTGATGTTGGTAGAGGATATTTCAAGAAAAAACATTTTTTCCATGTTCAAATATCACGTGTTTTACGTTTTATATCAATTTTTGTTCTATTTACTGACTCTCCCTCGTATTTATAGATAGTAGACGGGGAAACAAAATATTCTTAACTGAATGGTAGCAGATATTCGCCAAATTGAACTTGAAATCGACACGACAGAGTAGGATACCCAGCTAAACAAGCAGCAACATTCCACGAGAAAGGTAAAGGTAGAGCTATCCCTGTAACAGGCCTTGGAGGTCCGTAGGGCTGTGCGACGTCGAGGCTTCCACATTTTTTACATATTAGGCTCGGAGATGGTGGTGAGGTCAGCCTTAACCGCCGGCTGCCTTTTACCCCCCAGGAAGATTCCTGGTACTCATTTCTGTTAGAGGCTGAGTCGACCCCAGGGCCATAGCGCGGCTGGAAGGATTAAGGCATTTGGGAAACCCAGTGACCTTGGAAATCGAACCCGCGACTTTCCGGCTTGTAGATTAGTATTTCAACGAAGTACGTTATTGCATGCCCCCAAAGTCGAGCAGAAAAATAGTTTATTTATTTCTACAAAATATGAAGAAAGGCGGGGCAAGGGGTTTGGTGAAAATCAAAAGGTGGACGCCGTGTCAAAATGACTGCTGCGGAATACGGAGTCACGTCAACATACTTACGCTCTGAGGCGAACAGGCGAAGGAGTACCGGTAACTGAGGAGGCCGTCCGGCGTCTGGACTGCTTGCCGCTTAATCAGATAGGCGACAGCTCCCCGCGGACAATGGCACTGCACAATCTGCTCCGTGATGTTGTCTGCACCGCTCACCAGGATCCATGTGATATCTCTGAAGTACCTACATTTCGGAAGCTTCTTCACCGGCTCGCACAGCTGAACATGTAACAAACACGTGACTTACCGAAGGCACTAATCAGCCTTATGATGTCTCCCTATCCCTTCTATTTATTCACAGAGATATTGGGTTTTCGGACTTCATCCATCGTCCTGGTCTTTAAGATAACTAAGAAAAACACGACGTTTCGGAAACTGGATCTGTTTCCGTCCTCAGGTGAGGGATTGAGGCTAGCTCTTTCTAAGGGACCCAACAGAATAGGTGTTTTCCCTCACCTGAGGACGGAAACAGATCCAGTTTCCGAAACGTCGTGTTTTTCTTAGTTATCTTAAAGACCAGGACGATGGATGAAGTCCGAAAACCCAATATCTCTGTGAATAAATAGAANGCCTCCTATTTATTCTTTGCTTATTTAACGACGCTCTCTGTAGCTCAGAGTATGTAGAGTCTAGGGACTGAGGATAACCACAAGAGTCTCAGAATAGCCGGTGTCGCGAACGACATGAGGCTCACAGTGTTTTGTACTAACACCACGGAGGTGAGTCCTTTTGGAGAAGCTGCCAGTCGTTCAGCTACTCAGGAATTCCCCAACAATATATAGGTCGTTTACATTCCCTACAGAACGGACAGTACTTTGTAAGATGAGGCACCGACTAAATAATTAACATTAATATTAGTACATCTACATCACGAGCCTCCAAAACAATTTATTATATACAAAATATAGAATACTCCAATTTGTCCTTGGGAACACAACAAAATCACGAAAACCAGCGACTGACTCGACGATGTAAAACATCACTCGAAGAATTTTACTCTTGTTTTTTATCATAACTTTTCTTTTTATAATTAATTTATTGTATTTTTACACCAAGTATTTAATATAATTACTATTATTGTATCCAATTTTATTAGTACTGCAGTTCAGTGGTGTATATATGTTATTAATGGCTATTAATAGTCGAAACATGTAGCAGAGCCAAACTAGGCACTGGCCTTAATATTGTTGTGTTGTGACGGTTTTAATAAAGAAATTGTATATTATATAGGTTAATTACCGTGTTCGCAAGAACTTTCCACTGGTCCCTCCTGAGCTAGATCAATTCAGTCCATACCACCCCATTTTAGTTCTCTAAGGTACATTTTAATATTATCGTCCCACTTACGTCTAGGTTTTCCTATCGGTCTCTTTCCATAGCATCCTGTTCTCAAATATCTTTAGTCTATGTTCTTCCCTTATTTCCAGGAACCAGTACGAAACTGCAGGCAAAATAATAGTTCTGTATACTTTAATTATTACGTTTTTAGACATCAGACGAAAAGACAGAAGGTTCTTAACTGAATTGTAGAAAGCATTACCCAATTTCGATCTACTCATGAACCAGATTTTGGGTCAGTGATTGCGGATAGAGAAGACGGCCTCTAGATATGGACTGTAGCTGGGAATATATTGAATAAGCAGTTGCGGACAGTCGACAAGTTGTGGTCCTCCGGCTTGGGTGGTTTGGCATGCGCTTAACAATTCCTCGTTGTAAAAAAAAGAAGTAACTTTTTTAACACATGTAAAACAGAGTCAGTGTTCTGTGCAGTTTCTGAAAATAAAACTTTAATATTGTCTCTTGTTTTACCTTAGGACAAAAATATACCATATCTTTTATTTTGTGTATGCCACAAACTCTCTTGTCAGCAAATAGGTACATAGACTGACACATTTCATTCTCCCTTGCATGGCTTTCGGTTCATGATGTTTTCATTAAGCTACAGTATTATGAAGAGGATGTGTACGTTTCTCATAACGTATGGCCTCTGAATATTTCACATCCCTGTATGCATCTTTGAGTGGTAGTCGTTATTGTTCCGTGTCGCTGTGAACATCTGTGTGTGCTGTACCTTGAACTGTCGGGTTTTGTCCGTAATGGTGTGCCCATCGGTGGCGGCCAGCTGGCTGGGACACGACTGCCTCCCCGGACACCGGCACTCACGCTCCACCCACGGTGTCTCGTACAAATCAACTTTGCTGCATACCGTCCAGGGACCACACTCCGGAATGTCTTCTTCGCTGTTCTGTAAACACAGATACAAATTTTCAGGTTGGCATGACAGTAAGGTTAAAGCTGTCCCTGTAACAGGATTGTTAGACATCAAGGCTCCTACATTTTGTAGACAATCGGATCACAGATGGCAGTAAGGTCAGCCTCATGCGCTGGCCGCCCTTTACCCCCAGGAAGATTCCTGGTTCTCATTTCTGTTAGAGGCTGAGCCGATTCCAAGGCCGTAGTGAGGATGGAAGGATTAGGTCACTTGAAGTATCCAGTGACCTCATCGGGAATCGAACCCACGTCCTTTGCGGCTTGTAACATAGTGCCTCAACCAACTACGCTACCACTTATCCACAGATAAAGGTAAAGGTAAAGCTGTCCCTATGCTTAATTAATGAAGCACCACGCCATGAAGATGTATGGGGAAGTGGAGATATATCTCTGAAGTACCTGCTCTTCGGCAACTTCTTAACCGGCTCGCACAGCTGAACATGTAACAAACACGTGACTTACCGAAAACACTAATCAGCCTTATGATGTCTGGTATGCGCAGAACTTCCTACCCCTCCTATTTATTTTTGCTTATTTAACGATGCTTTCGGTAGCTCAGAGTATTTAGAGTCGAGTGACTAGTGAATGATTAATTGGAAGGTGTGCTGACGGAAGCGGTCGAGGCCTATTTTGAGTTGCTATCCCAGTATTTGACTGGAGGGACTAAGGAAAACCACAGGACTCTCGAATGACATGAGGCGCGCAGTGTTTTGTACTAACACCACGGAGATGAGTCATTGAGAAACCTCCAGCCAGTCAGCTACTCAAGAATTTCATAACATTTTATGGGACCTGAATGTTCATTACCGTGTCCACAAGAGTCCTCCAGTGGTACCTGTTTGAGGTAGATGAATCCAAATCATACCACCCCATCCTATTGCTCTAAGATCCATTTTAATATTGTCCTCCCACCTATGTGTATATCTGGGTCTTTCTAGTGTAATCTTCCTGTCTGGCTCGCATTAAAACCCTGTATTGCATTCCTCTTCTTTATGTGTGTTACATGCCCTGTCCATCTCATCCGTGTATTTCTTTTATTGCTAGTGGGGTGGGACTAAGTCCCTTGCACTGGCCTATTGTACCAGTCCCAGATGATATGTGAGGGCGATTGTGAAGCAGTTGGTGGAATGAAGATTGGCAGGAGAAACCGAAGTACTTGGGGAAAACCTGCCCTAGCGCCACTTTGTCGACCACAAAACCCACTTGACCAGACCCGGGATCGAACCCGGGCCGCCGCGGTGGGAAGCCAGCGACTAACCTCTTGAGCTATGGCGCGGCCTGTCCTTGTAAGAAGGGAGCGACTGCTGGCTACTGAAGGAGCCTGCTGCGTGGAGGTACTGTAGATAGTGTACGTGAATTAGCCCAACCGTCCGTCAGCTGCATAAGAAGACATAGGTTGAAGATTGATCACTCTCGAAGAATGAAAGATGAAAGATAAGTAAAACAACTATTGACGTACGTACAAACCAGAAGGGAGATACGACAGATATGGCAGATCAATTATAGGCCCAGAAGAATCGAATCGGTACTTGAAGGTCTCCAGGGTTCTCTCAAAGGCGGACAGCCAGTTTTCCAAGGGTTGGGGAAAGCTTGAAGATTTGCTTACAAACTTACATTTAATTAGGTTTACTTCCACCAATCAAGATTCAGGAAAGAAGAGTATGTCAGTAAAAGGTAAAACTGTCCCTGTGCTTAATTAGTTAAGCACTGTGTCATGAAGACATATGGTGGAGCGGAGGTCTAGCTCCACTTCTCTGTACCTCAGCACTAGATGGATGTGAGTGGTCAGTTACACGCCCTTGCCGCTTTACCTCTTGGGGAAGGAGCACCCGGTATCCGTTGATTGGGAGGCTGGGTGGACCCCAGAGTTGATCTGGACGCTGTGGTGAATAGAAGTTTACACTGCCTGGAATCGGTCCCGGGCCTTTGCCGCCTGTAGACCGTCCTTATACTGACTGAACTATTGGAAATATTATTTTTAATTTTTGGTATTTGTATTCAGTATATTTCCTTATTTCAATTTTTTTTTTTTTTTTTTTAAATCCAGGAGACGGGGTGGGGCAAAGCCTGGCTTTACCTCCCTGTTGGTGCCACTGAGCTGGTGTGCATCAAGAAATCTAATTGCTGATGCACTTTAAGGATTATAAGAAAACATGTTCTATCTATATATCTATTTATGGCTCTACAACCCTTGTGGATCTTGGCCGCATTTTCAGTTACTTAAACTATACACAGTCGGTAGGACTCCTTGGACGGGTTTTCAGGCCGTTACAAGGCCCTACCTAGACACAGGACAACACAAACACAGAATAAACGCACACTGACATCCATGCCTGTAGTGGGATTCGAACCCACGACCTGATTGTTTGAGCGGGCGAAGACTGTTTATGCCTTAGACCGCGCTGCCACTGTGATCGGCAGAAAACATGTTTGGAGGAGCTAAACCCAAACATCTCGTTATGTATTATGTCATCACTGATTCAATATGTGGTAGGGCCTGCGGCATAAATGGTTGTGGCAAACACTAGCACCATAATAGAACATGTCAGGGAGGCTGATCCTCGAAGTGCTTTACATCATTCATACATGGATCTATGTCTCCACTTCCCCATACGCCTTCATGGCGTAGCGCTTAATTAGTTAAGCACAGGGACAGCTTTACCTTACCGCTTAACATTTATGAAAAAGTTCAATAACAGTAAATCCTGACATTATTCTGGACATTATCTGTCTTCCTGTTTTTATTGGAAACGACGTTTCGGAGATTGGAATATATCTACGTCCTAAAATAAAAAGAAACAACTCAGTTTTACCACATGGATACCGTTGGTCCCTTAAGTTTGTCCTACCAGTTATATGTTCCGCTCCCTGATTGCGTCACCGCACACACGTCACAGATCTGCCTGTGGATCATACTTATATTTCTAAACAAGCGGCCTCCGTAGTCTAGAGGTAACGTTCCCACCTCATGACTCGTAGTACGCGGGTTCAAATACTCGGCGGAGGTCGTCGAATTTTTAAGGGCGGAAAAATTCAGGGAACAAGTCCTCCGGGAGGGACTTTAAGCCATGGGTCCCGTGTCGTAGCTTTACGGCACGTAAAAGAACCTCATATCTCCAAAGGAGGTCACTGAGCCAAATTAACGGACGTTTCCCGCCCAACAGCAGTCTCTAATACCTCCGGTAGATGGGGGAAGCATTATAGATACCTCTCAGCTAGTAGAGCCGGTCTCGCTGGCTGGGCGGGACTGATGGTAAGCACCAGTACCGGTAGGATATAGAGACTGGTAGAAATCATAGAGGGACGCACAATGGATCAATACAGGTCTCAGTGTATGGGGAAACCCACCCTCTCCAATAACTAACTAACTAACTAACTATATTTCTAAATGAATCATAAAAACATGATCTTAAAAATCTGTTTTGTGTGTTTAGCCTGAGGTTCTATTATCCGTCCACCAGGTGGAATGCTGCTAGACCTATTGATGATAAGACATTTTTACTCCAGGCAATTTTAAAGACATGACCAGGAATGAGTCATCTCTCTGTGAGGCTTATACAGCTTTACGAGCCGCATGGCTCAGTCGGTATAGTGAATGGAGAATCTGGGTTCGATTCCTACCAGGAAGGGAGACCGTTTTCTTCACAATGTCTAGACCGGCTATGAAGGCAACCCAGCCTCCTGTGCAGTTGGTCACATAGGCTCTTTTTTCAGGGATAAAACGGCAGGGACGTGACACTAAACACCTCTGTCTACTGCCGAAGGTTAAGAAAAACTGGAATTAGGACACCATTTGAAGGTCACTTCTTATAGTGGACCTGCTCTTATATGCTCTCTTATGTTAATAGCCGATGGTACCGCACTCGTCTTTGTTTCACGTGTTATACTGAGGCCTAAAATGTAAGGACGATTACTCCAGCAGAAATAATGATTCTTATATCCTTCTCACCATACTTGATTCATAAGGATATCGGATTTGTTGACCACTTATACACACGACTCTGAACTACAAGCAGTTACAGCGCCACCGCTGATCTCAGCAATTCACAAATCACCATAGCATCCGCTAAGCCTTTTGCAGCCTGCTGTGTCTTCACCAGCCGTTCCCTAGCAACGGCTTCTAACAGCGCATATTCTTCAGCTTCACGCTAACTCCAATACAGAACTGATTAAGCTCTAACCTTGTTCATTGCTTATAACATCTCGGCAGGGACTACACAGAAAGCACATCTATTCTGTTGTTTGTTTTCATTGCCGCAGAGATGTGTGTAACACACCGTTGCGTAGCAATGACCGCTGAAATCTCCGTTCGTCTGTTGCTGTACCGTTGTTGCATTTGTGTCTCTTGCTTTTGGAACGTGTTTCCCGAACCGTCGCCCAGAAACGGTCTTGATATATCCGCCCATCGCGCGGTCTTTGCATAACAACAGCTATACACACTCACATATTCACAATATCTTAGTTATACGTGTATTTGGCTATGAATAACGTTTTGGTAATTAGATCTCATCCCTTTCCTTAATGACTGTGACCCTTTTTTTTTCTTTCTTTGGCACTACAGCCCCAGTGGGCGTAGGCGAACCTCCATGAACCCCGTTCACTTCGGTATTTCTAGATCTTACACAGACGGTAGGACTCCTTGGGCGGGTGATCAGCTCGTCGCAAGGCCTCTACCTGTAAACAAACACAGAAAAACGCACTCAAACATCCATGCCCTGAGTGGGATTCGAACCCACTATCCCGGTTTCCGAGCGAGCGAAGACAGTGCATGCCTTAGACCGCTCGGCTACCGTGACCGGCGACTGTAGCCCTTACAGTGTTATATTACTATGTTTAGACTACTTTCTTTACTTTGAAGAGAAGTAAAAGTAGGCTTATGAGGCCACCGTGCTGTCTGTATGTCTGTGAATCCGTCCCCATCAACTTTAGAATGCCTAAACCAATTTGATGAAACTTGGTATGTATTGTCACATG